TCTCAATTTCAACCAATACATTGTTCATATCTCATTAAAATAAAAACTTTTAAGCTTTCTACCAAATGAGTAAATTGTTCCAGCATTTTTAAGGTCGTTGTCCAAGTTGTTCCACAGTTTAATTCCTCAGAGAGAGATGCATCGCTCCTTCAAATTTGTTCTAATTTTTGGCTTTACAAACATTTCAAGTCCCTTCAAATTATAAACACTATCCTTCTTAACAAAATTGGATTGTATGGTAGGTGGCGATACATTTTTATGAGCCTTATGCATAATCAGCAGAATCCTATAATCTACCAGTTCCCCCAAATTTCAACAGTTCCAATTGCTTAGAATATTTGTAGGGTGATAATAGTGTTTTCTTGTTACGATGCACTGCACGTTTTTGCAAAATAAAAAGTGGATTTGTAAATGTTTTACACGCACTCCCCCAGACCTCAACACAAACGGTCCAATGTGGCACAACTATAACATTATATAATAAAAGTAATGCATTATTGTTAAATATGTCTTTGGCTTTGTACAATACTGCAATTGATTTTGCAATTTTAGTTCTTAAGTAGTTAATATAGGGTCTCCATGTCAGATTTTCATCAATAATAACCCCCCAAAAACCTCTCTTCACTAACCCTAGAAATTCTAACGCCACCAATTTTAAATGAAACATCTACTTTTATTTTCCTTTTAGTAAATTAGTTGGTTTTGTCCAAATTAAGTGATAATTATTTAACATAAACCGTTGTATTTTACAAAATCAAATTGCATCGTTGTAAACATGTGATTTAGATCATTACATGAACAAAAGAAGGTAGTGTCATCTGCAAATAAAACACACCTGAACAACTTTGACACACTTACCAGGTCATTGACATATGAAAGAAACAATTTAGGACCAAGCACAGAGCCATGTGGGACACCACATGTAATTACATCAAAAACCGAACGTACATCATTTTTTTGTACAATTTGTTTTCTATTTACCAAATAACTTGACACCCATTGTAAAGCCAAACCTCTTACACCATAGTTGTTTAATTTGCTGAATGCTTTGGTCAGTAGTGTCAAAGGCTTTCTTTAAATCAATATTCACAGTAACACAAATTTTCTTTTGATCCACAGCAGTAGTTATCAGTTCAATCAAATCAACAAGTGCTGAAGATGTTGAATGGTGAGTTCTGAAACCATATTGACTATTACTCAATATATTGTTCCAATCAATAAAGCAATCCAATCTGATCACAAACACTCTCCAAAATTTTAGAAAATTGAGACAACAAAGAAATAGGCCTATAATAAGAAAACAATTTTTCGCCACTTTTATAAAGAGGGATTACTTTGGCTACCTTCGTGCCTTCAGGAAATATACCAGTTGAAAAGGACAAATTACATACAGTATATATGTAAAAGGTTCAATGACATAAATCATTATCGCCTTAATAAGGGACACATCCATATCCAACCAATCCTTTTGACCTTTTATCAGAAAAACCTTTAACCACATTCAATATTTCTTCTGTATTAGATTTTTTAATTAAAAAAACTATTTGTACAACCCTCCAAAGTATTTACCACAATATCATTTACATTGGGTATTTCAGCAGCCAGACTTGAGCCAACATTCACAAAATAATTATTAACAATATCATTTTGTTTCACAAAATATTGCGAAACACTTGTCTTTATCTTATTTTTCAAGACACCGTTCATTATTCGCCATGTAGCTTTCATGTCATTGTGGTTTTTCTCTAGTAAATCACTGAAGTACTTCATCTTTTGCTTTCTAATAATCCATATCAATTTATTTTTATATTTTTATATTTCTCCTCGGATTATCTGGTTCTTGACTTCAAATAGCATGTATATGTACTTCTTTTTTTTCACAAGCATTTCTCAATCCTTCTGTCATCCAAGGTTTATTTATGGTAGATGACTTATTATTAATATTGAGCGTACCTTTTTTTTTCATATAACGCTCCTAAAGTATCATATGCACCATTTATTTACATCTGCAACATATACATCACTCCAGTTTTGTTTTTCAAATCACTTATTAGATTATCTAATTCTATTTTAGATGTGGTAATATTCTTCTTAAATAAACAAATTTATGTATCATTTTGTACATAATTGCAAATCATGAAAACTGGAAGATGATCAAATTGATTAATGACAAAATAAACAAATTAAATAACATTTTTTTTTGCATTTTTCTTTATTTCAGGGCAGCTGGAACTCACAGCTCTCAGCCTCGGCTTAGGTTCTGGTTTGAGTCCAGCTCAGGTCAGGTTTAAAGGGACTGTGAGAGTCAGTGGACCGGTTCTGTCCAACAGAACCTGATGGACTGCGTGTCCTGGATGAGGACCATCTTATCTCCTCTGTCCGGACTGTGTGAAGCGGTTCTGTTGGGTTCAGGTTGTGGGTCAGAACCCTGATGCTCTATACCAAGTGCAGAGTTGGATCTGATGGAGTTTTCCTTGCAGCTCGGCCTCAGGAGGAGGAGGGGGCGGAGCCTCAGCAGCCATTAAAGCTGCAGCTTTGTGCTTTTTGTTTTGTTGTGGCGGCTCAGCGTGGCGGCGCCGGCTGGAACGTTGGTGGTCCGCCCGGCGCCCCCCGGGGGGCCAGCATAGATGTTGGCGATGCGAGGCGCAGCTTTTGATTTAGCGGCCATGTTTGTTGGGCGGAGGCCATTAGACGTTTACGTGTTTGTGTCATGTTTACTGAGAGAAGCTAAAACTAACAAGAGAAGGTCTGTCGGTGCCGGTCCAAGAGTCCTGCTGCGAGGCCCGGTTCTGTCTGACTCTGAGCCTCTTGTTAAACTGAGAGAAGACTTTCATCCACAAACAAACAAACAAACAAACAAACAAACAAACAAACAAACAAACAGTTATCTTGTCGTGACCTTTGACCTGCAGGGTCCAGCTCCAGGTCTGGGGTCAGCTCTCAGGTCACTCGTGTCATTGTGTTACCGGCAACACACACCTGTAGCTGTAGATTCACTGATTAATCAACTCAACCTGGTCCTGAACCTGGTCCTGAACCTGGTCCTGAACCTGGTTCTGAACCTGGTCCTGAACCTGGTCCTGAACCTGGTCGTGGTTTTGGTCTGGATCTGCGTCTTTAATCCTTTAAGTTGTGTTTGTTTTGATCTCCTGCAGGAGGAGCAGCACACACGGAGAGCTGCACCTCCTCTTCTCCTCCCACCAGTTTCCACCCGTCTGCCTGCTTTGTGTGGAATAATGAGGCAAATGAAGCGGAGACCCTGTTGGTGGACCACCCCCCCGCCTGCCCGCCTGACCGCCCCGCTCATTTACCACTGATCTAACAGACTAATGACAGCAGCTCAGACCAGAGGTCTCAGCAGGAGCCGGATCACACACACACACACACACACACACACACACACACACACACACACACACACACACGCAGGAGGATGAAAACATCACAGCTGCTTCTTCAGATTTCTCAGCTCAAAGAGTCTCCGACTCAGTTTTTCTCACTTTATTCAACAATAAAACTGAAAAGTTTCTCCAGAGAAAAAATCTTTTCAAAGTATAAAAACAGGAAAAACAGAAAGTCTGAGTTTTTAATCTGTCGTCGCTCAGAAACGTTCTCTGCTGCAGCAAGATCAGCTCACAGGACGTGAGACTTTAAACCACAGCAACATGAAAACATGAAAATATGAAAACATAAAAATATGAAAATATGAACATATGAAAACATAATAATATGAAAACAAGAAAACATGAAGACATGAAAATATGATATCATGAAAACAAAATTATGAAAACGTAATAACATGAAAACATGAAACCATGAAAATATGAAAACATGAAAATACGAAGACTGGAAGACATGAAAACAACAATATCTTCATCATTTTCATCTACATCACATCATCTTCATCACTTCATTTTCATCACATCATCTTCAACATCTTCATCTACATCACATCATTTTAGTTTAGTTTAGTTCATTCATTTCATTTAAAAACAAAGCAAATTCAATATACAAACGAATACAAATGACTAATAAAATAAAATGAAAGCAGCAGAAGGAAGAAAAATCCTGTAATATCTGCGCCTTTTTCCATCGAAAGAAATTCAAACAATAATAATAAAAACCAGAAAAATCATTTTCAAAGTCATTTTCATCACATCATCTTCATCATCTTCATCTTTAATGATCACCTGCAATACCAACATAAACCATATACCTCAATATACAAAATGTGCAATATTTAAAACAGTGTGCAATAATGTCGTTAAACTTTCTTCTACTTTAGTTTCACGTTTACAACCGACTCTCATTGTGCTTTTTTATTGTTTTTCTATTGTTTTATATATGTAAGTATATGCATATATACATGTATATATACATGCAGATGTGTAGGCATATTATAGCTGATTTCAGCTATTCTTTTCTATTTATTTTAATGTGTATTTGCACTGCTGTGGGAGTGGATCTAATCTCATTATGTACATGTGTAATGACAATAAAGACATTCTCTTCTGTTCTATCTACATCAGAACATCATCATCTTCATCACATCATCTTCATCACATCATCTTCATCACATCATCTTCAATCCTTCCACTTCATCAAGTAATTGATTTAATTTTTAATTTAAATTCGTTTCTTCTTCCCTGATTTTGCTGCTCGTCTTCACTAGGGGGCAGCATCACACAGGACCAGAGATGGACCATCTGTCCATCATCCATCCATCCATCCATCCATCCATCCATCCATCCAGGACCCAGAATCAGACTTTTCTTGAAATAAAAACAAAACTGTTTTATTAATATTATTCAGTTTTTGTTTCTAAGCAGGTATTAATAATTTGTGGATGATATTCCGATTCTGTCTTGTCTTTGGGTTTGCAGTGAGTCAGAACCGCAGAACTGGAGCTTTTTGTTTCACGGGTCAGACAGACTGTGGAAGCAGCTGCGACCGCTGGGGGCGCTGCAGACTGCGGCTGCGCCAACATACACACCGGAAGTGATCAGCTTGACCCGGAAGTATTACTTCTCCGCTGCATGTAGTCGTCTTTCTTTTGCGGCACAAAAACAACAAGAGATCTCCCGTGTTCTATAACCCAAACGCTTCATAAAACGACAGATTACAGATCAGTCAGCAGACATCATGGGAGTTCCCGCCTTCTTCCGCTGGCTGAGCAGGAAGTACCCGTCAATTGTCGTTCACTGCGTGGAGGAAAAGGTAAGCTAGCTCCGCTCCGGTTTGCCTGGTGCTCTGTTCCGACAGCTACTTGTTTTGTAGAAAAAAACGTATCTGTCTACTCCAACTGACGTGCATTTAATTCAAAGAAACATTTCCAAGAAACTTCAGTTTCGGTGTTTTATTGACATTTAACATATTGTTGCAAAAATGCTCAAATTTCTATAATGAGCAGAAATTATTTGTTAAAACATTTTGCTGAAATGTCCTCACTGGTACACTCTCACTCTGTGTGTGTCCATCTGGAACACACGTCACACTGCACCTTTAAAAACAGAAAAAAAGTACACCTTACACACAACACCTAAAATAAAGCATTGCAATAAATGAAAAATCAAAAAGAAAAAAATTGTATAGGTCTTCTGGACGGGTTCTTCTCTAATGAAACGTTTCGTCTCTCCTCCAAGAGACTTCTTCAGTCTGAGAG